TGGCTGGAACAGTTCAAATTGGTAGCCTAAACCGCGTGATCCAGTTGGCCGTCCTCGCGTCGGTGGTGGTGGTGCTGTGCTACCTGTGGCAAAGTTGGCGCATCCCTATTTCAAGCTGCCTCAGCGCACCACGTCAACGCTGTTGCCAGCAGGGGCGTTGTGCGTGTATGTAGGGAGTTGATAACACAGAGGAAATTGTAAACTGATTGATTGGCGTTATCTACATCTACATGCATGACTACTGTGACTATATATACTATATCTAATGCTATATATACGTGCGCTCTGCAGAAGGAACTTCTGGTGTCCATGGCCGAGCACGCCGCACGCCAATCGAGCTTGGTCGTAAACTGACGTCAACTGTGACGTCTGTTCTGATTGGTCGATAACCCTATGACGCCACTGGAGTGACGTCGTTACAGTGTACTACAAAGAACCATGGATTTTCAACGGCTCTGTGTACTTGGACAATGTGTCGACGTTCATGTATGGCCTCGTGGCGATGTCGTACAGATCGATTTTTGTGTTGGACATCAAGGCATTGCATGTGATCGACATTGACGACGGACTTAACCCTCGACAATTACAGTATCCATCTACTCATATACCATCAACGTTCGATAGAGTCAGCCGTGCCCTTGTAACTAACGATACAGTAACTTATCGATTTACATCAAGTTTGTTGAAAGGAGGGTGGCGTACGGTTCATTTGTATTGCGTCCATGTTAGTTACAAAATCGTGCCTCGCACGACGTCGTGTAGCCAGAAGTGGCCAAAGTAGACACATAAAGCACACTGTAGTCGGTGCATCGCCTTCGCGCTCAAACTTGCCTCCGACCTGGAAAAAGTAACTGGCGTCAGCATCAGCGTTGCCTGAGGCGCCCCTGATCCACAGTCCCACTGTACTGCTTGATGCAAACGAAATATCCGGACAATTATCCGGATGAATGGAACAAGCAACGTTTCTTCCTTTTTGTCCCAAACTGTACACACACTAGACAGATTTCGGAAACACTGCGGTAGACTTCCCACGCGCGGAAAATTTAATGCACGGGAAATATATGGCAGGCCCAACTCATGATTTCGACAAAACTTATTTGTATTTACCATATCCGTATGAGGAACGATATCCGTATGCTTGCATGTGTGGTGGCGAATCCACACCGCACGTAGTTCCCTGTTGTTGCATTGCGTAAACTTACTCATATGATCCCATTGCCATAACTGGTATCACGAATGGGTCTTGTCACACACCTCATGGCCCACAACTTCACTCTGATACCAGTATTTGCGTGCCACGTTGAGCAAGGGAGTGGGTTTACGACATTTTTCGAAACCGCTTGGTGATTTTGGCTCATCATTAGAGCGGCGCAACTGTGTATGCGACTATGTCCACTTATGTCCACATGCGGATGAGAATTGTGAGTTTTCTGTAAGCTTCATGCGCCTATAGGTGAAACACCGAAGCCCCATATTCAAATCGTAGGAGTGCGGGCAGGACATCGACCCAATGCAATTACGAAACCTGCTGGAGAAGTTTCAGGATAACTGGCTGAATGAATATGACAAGATAATATGCACGTAATCGCTCCACCTGAACTCTTGGAACCGCCCATTTTACAGTAGCGTGGAAGAGGCTGGACACCAGGCCACGTCGGGTTGCGCTGCAACATGCAATTGTGAAGAAGTGTGCATTATTAACGTTATGAGAGACTGGTTGAAATCCACGATTTAAGACCAATGCCGGTGCCCTAGAGGAGGGGTGACCATTACTGCTTTTACGGCATCCCACATAAAATTTGACAGTTCCCGTAAACTCGATAAATTTTAAGTAGGTAAATTGACGGCAAATGCATGGGAACATGTTCCGAAATCTGTCTACTGACTCAATCATTAAGTAATGAGTGGGTGGGTACCCAATCACTTGCTCGCGGTGCAACCGTTTGCTACCATGGATGTCCTACGTTGATGCCGCATGCAACTCACCATACACCATGTGTGACACTGGCCGATCTGACAGGGATAAAGGAGACGGTAAACAACGCATGGAAGATGTTCTGACATTTGACGTGGAGTCACCAGGGGAGTTTGACAGCGACACTGTGTGGGCGATTCCCATGAACCCTGGCGCCATGATTATACGACTTGATTTCACCAACATGTGTGGTGAGTTTGCCTCAGCCACTGAGTTCATAATTCAATGCATGCAGAATGCTCTCGGTTTTCGATTCAGGTATGTTGCCGGCGTTCCAGTATCGTGATATCTGAGGTAAAGCAACGCAATCGTGTTGGTTTCATTTGGTATCCTTGCAAAGGTATTTGATATGGTGTCTTTTGTTATGAGTGATATAGCCTCTCTGTCCTATAGAAATCTGTGAACCAGTATTATACTATTACCTCTAGTGCCGCTACACCTTCTATAAGAAACAGTTCTCATACCCGCAATAGGTGTACTTGCAATGTCAAACATTGGACACAACTGTTTGTGCGTTTTTATCACGCGGATCACCACATTGGGCTTGAAAATGCTTCCCTGCCAACGGATCCCTTCTTTGTGAGGTAGGAGTATATTGAAGACCGTGCCAAGCAACTGTCACCAATGAAGATACGTGACTCCTTACTACTAGTACGTAGTACTTCAAAAGCGACATGACGATGGCTCCAAGTTGGTCAACATACCACTTTTTTGTTGATTGCCAAATGTATGGATCGATTCTTTGTACTGAATTTTGTAAGTCAAAATGGCCCAATGTCACACTAATTTAAGTCACACACTAATTAGATGTTGAAATCGTGGAATAGTGTATTTGATTCGCCACGTGGTCAGTGTTCTGGGTTTTGATTGGTCGATCTATTGCCTTCCGATTTGGTTCTGCTTATTCGATTGTGCACCGCACTCCAATTTCGAATCGACTTGACAATTCTAGTATATTTGTACTATGAGTATTACAGAAGAAATAGTTCCGGGTAGCGCAACTTTTAGCCGGATAATCCAATGAACCACGCAATTATTCTTGCGCTGATGTTGCGCTACACGGAAACCGTTTGGTTGTCCCATACAATTTTTAGGATAAAAAACTATCCTTCAGATAGTACGGAGTAGCGCAATAAATACGGAATCAATATCCGGTCAGATATTCCATACGTACGAAAAGTCATGGCTTCGAAGAGGTCCAGCGCCGATGCAGTCAACAATGAAGCTGGCCAGCGAGTCCTTCGTGCACGAGTTGCTGTGGGCACCCGATCTCACTACAATACGATGAATGCTCATCTCTTGAAGAGGAAACACAGCCGAGTTCCGTTCAAGCGGGAGTTTGATACGTTTGCCGCTGCCTGTGGACGTATGCACAATATATCTCGCGCACATCTCAGTAAAACGAGGTTGCAGCACCCCGCAGCGTCAGAACTTGTACTCTACTGTCAACGGGTACATCAACGCGATCAAGTTCTTGTGCAAAGAATCCAAGGAGCCGCTCTCATGTGAAATGACTGCAATGTTGAAAGGTAAGAAATAATGTGACTTTGTCCTCTAATTGTTATAAATTTTGCCAACGGCTACAAGCGAGAGGTTGGCGCGATTTAAAGAACAAGTAAGATGCCAATACAGGAGGGGAAAAGCCTCATGACGTTCGACACCATGTTGTGTATACATTCGCTTATTTTTCTTTATGATTCAAGGGTATAAGCTCCTTGCAAAGGAAGCTTGTTCACACAAGATCAATCACTATCACAAAATCGAAGTCCACAGTTTTCTCTTAGTGTCCTGGAATTTAATGGCAAGGTCTGCATCGATCTCATCGATTCGTTACGACCACATTTCGTGGGAAGGTTGGATATGTCTATATTGTATTAATATTCATTGTGTGGTTACTTGTGTGTAGGAGACGCCCTTGTTGTAAAATTCGGTCGCACGAAGAACGACAAAGATGGCGCAAACAGCTTCCCTCGGCATGTGTATGCCAATCCGCATGACCCTGCTATTTGCACCATTTTGAAGTTTGAAGTCTAGTTAATTTAAACTAATAGTAACAAAATTCGCGACTAGTCTAGCTGTCCTGGTGTTCACGAAAGGTGCTCCGAGAGAAGGGTCATCCACGCTTGTTTTTGGCCCGAATGCGAAGGATGGGTTTGCAACGTGACTGCAACGAATGTGCGACCATCACAAGGACACTGTCGTCGGATTCGGAATGTATCTTGCTGACATTGGCACCCATTCCTTTCGGAAGGATGCAACAGAGCTGTCCAATACTCCTGGTGGTCCACAAGGTGTCCATTTGGCAACGTGCAGGATGGAGCTTGGGTGTGTTCAAACCCGGTACATTTTTGCTGGCTCGGGTGGCGATCAACATGTCGATCGAGCAGTCGCAGATATATTGATATTTCAAAAATATGATTTTGATTTTATTAAAAAAACTTAAATAGGATTGGATATGAATGCCGTTGAGTTTGCTGCCTTGCCACCTCACTTCCATGGTTGGACAGGGATGGACGGTTGTTGAACTGGAGGCCATCTTGCCAGGCTATGCCACGTTTTTTCCTTCCTCGATTTGCTCTGCAATCCCGTTCCTGTTAGCGTCGCTGTGTTTCCATCTGCACTGGTTAAAATCAACTCTGGACGCATCACATCCACTGTTCACATCTGCTGTGTGGAACTCTGGCTTGCTCGAGGCCAAGTTTGTGTATCTCCAGCATGGATCACTCCGGAACCCTGTCAGTGGAATGATATCAAGCGGCATCCCGCCGCATATTATGCTTGGGAACCGGCTTTTTGCTATAGAAAACGGCTTGTAACGCTTGGAGACCATCCTCGCCACCTCGGTTGAACCTCATCCTGCTCAAGTGAGTGACAGGGTTTTGTCACAAATTTCAACTAGTCAGTCCAACTCGATGAACTTGTCTGCATTTGAAAAAATGTTCCAAACTATTGCCGACAAAATTGTCGGGGCCAACGATATTTTGACTAACAGTCACACTCTCCCGGTGTTGTCGCCATCAACTTCTCCTGCAGCGTCCACTAACACACAGTGGCAATGGGGCGGTCAGTTCCACAGTGTGCCGCAAGGATATCATATATCTACGTGCAAAGTGTACACTTTGTGGAGTCTATGGTGGTGTGTCGCTTTTGCTGAACTTGTCGGTCCACTCCGTTTTGTACAAGCTGGCGATGTGCAGCCTTGGGACAAACTGAACCTGTCCCGGGCGCGTCAGGTGATGAAAAACCCCTTCAGTTTTCCCAACCAATCATCCACGAAATCGTGAAGATGGATCCGCCAGGCCGCGACGATGTGTACCGCTTAGCATTTTTGCGCCCATGTGAGTATGTCTACGGCACCATGGATCATGAAAGTTGGCGACAGAAGCGTTTAGATGAGATCAGCTATGTATCATTCTACCGTATTCCCCACCTACCAGTACCCCCTGAAATGTCAGTAAAATCTGGTGCAAATGGGTATAGCTAGACAAGGAGAGCTGGGTCAACCAGCAGAGTGTGACACAATGTGATTGGTTAGTTTGAATATAGTGAATACCTGTGATTCGTTCGTTTCGTTTTGCTGCAGCTCAAGTGCATTTTGAATTTCATGCCTTCCCCATCGCCAAGCATCGGCCGCAAGCAGTACTACTCGGTCAAAGCCAAGATAGCCATCGTAGCCGAGAACACGAAGGCAAACGAGAGCGCCTACGCCACCGCAAAGCGGCATGGTCTTCAAACCAGTCAGGTTTCTAGATGGATCAAGAACTTGGCCAGTTTGAAAGCAGCAGCAGCCAAATCGCCGCGTTGACAGTAGGAAAAGGCCTTGGCGTGTCAAAGCCTCTGGTCGAAGCCGAAGTGCTGACCTA